CCAGTTTATGGGAATGCAACCTGCATTTGGAAAGCCAGAAAAACCAGCTGCACATTCTTTTAATGAAAACCTCATGCAATTACTCCCCCTGTGTGTTTTTATCAGATGAGATTATTGAGCATTAGCAGTTGTCAGCTGTTTTCATGCAGTTAGACATTTGCCTTGTGCTCCTAACAATCGACCTTTTGTTGTTAACATGCCTCTTACAGAAAGGAAGAAATATTTAAAAATGTCACATATCCGAAGTTTGTCTTCAAAACTCTCATTTTGATTCCGGGACTCCAAAGTGCACAGAAACCAATGGAGCTTAACAAAAATGCTGATAGCACAGCTTCTAGTTCCTCCCTAGACTAAAATGATCAGCTCCCTTCTTATATAACTAGAAGACAAGCAGTACAGATGTGATGTAAACATTCTACGGGCAGGTTCTTTCCTGGTGAGTTCTGTGAGCTGTGGGAGTAACTGTGAGGGACAGGTTTTAGGTGCCTCCCTACTACTACTGTCCTCTCTGCCCCTGTAGTGCTGGAGCCAGGAGTGAGGACTTGCCAGCATGGGTTGTGTTTAAACAAGCTCTGTTAGTACATTTGCAGACTTGCTGTGAATGAGGCCTGTAGGAAAACAAGGAATGTGCCAAAGGAGGAATAGCCATGCTTTTAAAAGAAATACGTCTCAGTTTTTAGACATGTCCTGGCTGAAAGCAAAGGCTGCTTCCAGCTATGACATGTAATTGCCAGCCTCTCACTTCAGCAGCAACAGCAGCTTTTGCAGGAAATATTTGGTGTTTATCAGTGAAGAGCAAGGCAGCTAAGACCCCTAAACCCACCAATGGTTTTTAAATATATTTTTGTCTGAAATTCATAGGATTAACAGTTTTAAAATGCGTTTCTCATCTCCTTAATCCTATTCAAAATAGACCCGCAATCATTTGGAGCAGTGGCATTTTGAACTGCTCCAACAGATAGGGCACAGTCACTGATAACTGCTACCTAAGCAGGAACAAGGATGAATTCATGCCTTTTTGTCCAAAAGTGATCCGTCAGCTTTTGCAGAGCCAGCACACAAAAAGCAACTCCTGAATGGTGGGAGAGAGCTTCTTCAGCAAAGGAGCAAAAATTTCCTGTATCTCCCTGACTCCTTGTTTTTTCTCAGGAAAAAAATAAAAAAATAAAAAATAAAGACTGTGTATTGGTCCCTTATAGGGCAATTTTTCCCCTCTCCAAAAATCCTCACTGGTGCTATTAGAGGGATGACAAGAGGAACCAGCTTGTCTCTTCATCCACCCTAGAAAAGCGGGAGAGAGTGAAGGCAAATGGGTCATGCCAGGGTGGATCAGGGTGTGAAATCCTGCTGTTTCATATGTGGAAGTGAAGTATGTTGCTGCATCTGGAAATGCTGGCCTGCCCGGCCATATAATCACTGCACTGCCGCAAGCACCATCTACTCCAGAACCGGGCTGACACTATAGGCTTCTGCCTGCATAAGTATGTGGATCAGGGTGGCAGAGAGATGTGATACCTGACCCACATAGGCATGAGAAAGAAGCTTTACTGGCAAAACTTGCTTTGCTACAGGGTAGGGAGGGGTGGTAACTTTCCTGTGATGTGCAACTACAGAGCCCAGTTTTGCTGCTGTAAGAGCATCCACACGCTTTGCTGGGTTAATGTCACAGGACTCTCCTCTGCCCGGATACAATGTCCTGAATGCGGACGGAGATTAGACCACCATGCACTTTCTAAAGGGAAGGGCACGCCAGGCACTGGGGTTGGACACAGAAATGTAGAATAGCTTTTAAGCAATTACAGCTTGAAAAGAGACCAAATTGCAGCACATGCTTAGGACTGAAAAAGAGGAGCTTTAAAATGAGGCATGCACACAGGCTGTAAGTGCATGCTTTTTAGCATGGTGCCTCACATATAACTGAGAAAAATGCTGAGGCTGGAAATGTGAATGCCCAAAGCCCTTTTCCCTTTCCTTCCTGTCCCTTCTATGCCTCTGTGTGAGTGGGAGGCAAGACACGGCGCCGTCCTGACGTGTCACATCTCCTTCAGAGCCGTCATCGCTGGGCTGCACCCCGCAGCGCACAAAACCTCCGGGGGAACCTTCCAAACAAATGAGAGGCGGCTGCCCAGCCCGCGGGCTCTCTCCCGTGCCTGCCGGAGATAAACCAGGCTCCTGGGAGACACTCGCTCCTGTCTCCCCGATGGTATCACAGGGCTGGAGCGTGGCTGCTGCCCGGCTGCTCCGGCTCCATGCGAAACTTCAAAGCGACGCGGCGGCGGCGCTGACTCACCAGGCCGCCCGGCCGCCCGTGGCCAGGCCGAGCGCATCCCGGCTGCCCAACTCCCGCCCAGACGTCCTCACCAGCTTCAGCTCCCTCCAAGATCCCTCGCACGGCCCCTTTTTTGAGTAATTCTCTCAACTTGGGCTTTTTTAGCTCTTTCCCCTGCACTGAGATTGCGGGGAATGGCAGCAGGGCCCGCGTGGCACGCAGGGCGCCTGCATTGCCACACAGCTAGCTGCAGGCTGAGGGAGATGCTGAGGCGCCTATTGGCTTTAATTTGGGCAATTAAATTCTTGGCACATTAATGGAAGGGGTGTTCCTCGGTGTGAAACAACGCCATTCATGTAAACGCGATCAGCAAATATTAAAGAGCTGCCAGAAGTTAGCACTGTAGTTATACAAGTGCTACTAGTTACAACCACTTTATATCCTTTACATGGGCTTGGTCTCTTGCACAGCCGTATTAAAGAATAAGCAAAATTTGGAAATCCGTGAGCAGTACAAAGGATGAGACACACTGAATGTGGAAGCAATGAAACTGCAGATTTTGGACCAGATTATTTTCCTGGCTTGCTAAATAATTTGCTGTGCAAGTACTCCACAGAGCTACATGCACTCTTGCAAAATGCCTACTTACAAATGAGATGCAGCATTTTCCCTGCTGACATTTATTTTATTAAAGAAATTGGAGGAAAAAAATAGATCCAATGGAGTCAGTGGGAAGTCACCATTAGCTTCAACAGGACCTGACTTTTACTTTATACCAAAACAATATACTGAAAACAAAACTGAATTTATACTTTGTTTTTATAAGCTGGGCAAATAAGGCAATAAATTTGGCTCTGAGGCCTTCAAGTTTTCTGGTTTTTGCATTTTTGGGGTGTTGTTTACATATTTTAAAGGCTACTTGAAAAGTTTTTTTGAAAATGCCGTAAGTACGTTGAAGGAAAAATTTCTTAACAGTGAGGGTGACAGAGCGCTAGAACAGGCTGCCCAGAGAGGTTGTGGAGTCTCCTTCTCTGGAGATCTTCAAAACCCGCTTGGACGCAGTCCTGTGCCACGTGCTCTAGGTGACCCTGCGTGTGCAGGGGGGTGGACTAGATGATCTCTAGAGGTCCCTTCCAACCTTAAGCTTTCTATGATCCTATGACTCCAAGTTTCTAGTCTTTTACACATCCCATGCAGTGTAGATGTGTCCGTACTAAAAAAGTCATCTCTATTTTAGGGAAAAAAAAGGAAAAAAAAAAAAGAAAGAAAAATGCAATTCCTCCAGTGTTAGCTTGTTCATGCCAGTACCGCAGGGACATTTAACTATCAGCATCTGGACTGAGGTGAGGGACAGCCCAGACGGCAGCACAGGTGGGTGACAAACAGGCTGCTGTGAGTGACCACCTAAATGATCTCTGCAATGTGCTTAGGCACGTGCCTCAGAAAAACAGCAAGAAACTGAGTTTAGCAACGGGGAAGCAATGCTGAGGAATCCACATGAAGAACTGGGAAGTAAAGGAAGCTCTGTGGACAGGGCAATTACCAGGCGGTTAATAGGAAATATAGTTAACCCTAACTCATAGCGTTCTTGGCAGCTTCCTAATCCTTAATCCTTATCGTCATCATCCCCTAATTACAGGATTTCAGGTAGGACTAGAGTGAATTGGACAAAGTATGACAGTTTGCAGGAACAGCTTTTCACTTTCAGATGAGTTACTGCTATTCATAAACGTGTCTATCTATTAGCTCCTGGGGAGAAATAAACTAGATTTTAAAAAAGGCAGCAAAATGTCATGGCATCTGCTCTCAGCGCTTTAGGATACATCCCAGAAATCAGAAATTGCTAGGCTTATTGCCCTGAAAGCGCAGTGTACCTAACACACGCAGGCTGGTTGCACCCTTTCGAGACTGCACTTAAGCACTTGACAGGTTTTTCAGTCACTCTAATTGGCTTCCCGGGTCTTGTCGGGATTCTGGGGCTGTTTCCACGTCAACTGCTCAGTACAGGTGAAGGGGTCCAGAATGATTTGGGGCAGCAGCTGATCACGCATGTGCTTTTGGAATCTCTCCCTCACTGCAGTGAAGGGATAGCCAAGAGGAACCCGGGGCCAGGGTTTGGGAAAGCAGAAACACAGGCAGCAAGATGAAATTTTACGAGTTAATAATGGTTGGCTGAAGCACCACCGAGCATTTCCTTCAGCTGCCCACTGCGTCTCCGCTTTTCCCTGAAAGGACAAGACAGCCTAGAAACGTGCCTGACAGCAGGCTCTTCCCTCCGCGCCGTCTCAGATCCCCTGGCTGCAGGCAGCCGAGCGTGTGCTTTCTGAGGCAATCCAGGAGCTCCACAGACCCTAAATAAGCTGAACTGTTACCAAATGCACCTTTTCTGCCCCTCTATGCACTTGCTTCACCTTGGACAGCTTTACTGGGGGGGCATCTCAAGAGGGGGAAAAAGGCATTAGGAGAAATGGTAACTCAACTTGCACATTAGGCACCCCGGAATACCACAGGCAGCCTCACGCGCTCAGGCTCTGCTTATCGGGCGCAGCTGCCCGGGCAGCAGGACGAGTTTGGCCGCACTCACTGTCCCGACGTTTTATTTATTTCGGTGCCATGGGCGGGCCAGCGAGCCCGGAGCTGCGTGTCCTGCAGCACAACAGGCAGCGGGGGGAAACTTTGTTTTCCCCCACTCCCTTTTCCCAAGGGCTGCTCCCCGGGGTCGCCTCACACCATTTATTACCAAAAAAGTTTTCCAGAAGCCGAATTTGGCATTTTAAAAATCTTTTTATAAAGTTTTTTCCATGCATAACTAAACTTTGTCAACTGCAACAGTCGAGTGGTTACTTCAGAAGAGACACTTTAAACAGAGACAAATATCCAGAATACAAATAGCTGCATCTGAATTAACAAAACTTTGCTATTACTAACCTTATAAAGCAGGAGGTGCCTTCCCTTTTTATCAAAACCAAGCTGAAAGATCTGCCTTTATACACACCCAACAGAATAAACTCTGTTATTGGCAATGACGTTTTTCTTAAACGTTAGGAAAAAAAAATAAAAATAAAGCAGAGAACGGAGTGTCCATAAACCAGTCTATAGTTCAGTCCTATTTAATCTACTTCTTCAATGGTTGGGCCTCCGGAGCCGGCTGCCCCGGCCCCCCCAGCTCCCTGGTACAATTTTGTGATGATCGGGTTGCAGAGTTTCTCCAGCTCTTTCTGCTTGTGCTCGTACTCCTCCTTCTCGGCCATCTGGTTACGGTCGAGCCAACTGATCACATCCCGGCACTTGTCGAGCACTTTCTGCTTGTCCTGATCGCTGATCTTTCCCTTCAGTTTATCATCCTCCACCGTCTGCTTCATGTTGTACGTGTAGGACTCGAGGGAGTTCTTGGCGGACACCCGATCCCGATTAGCTTCGTCCTCAGCTTTGTATTTCTCTGCTTCCTGCACCATGCGGTCGATATCATCCTTGCTGAGGCGCCCCTTGTCGTTGGTGATCGTGATCTTGTTCTCCTTCCCCGTGCTCTTGTCCACAGCACTGACATTCAGGATACCATTGGCATCTATGTCAAACGTCACCTCGATCTGGGGGACGCCACGGGGCGCTGGGGGGATCCCTGTTAGATCAAACTTGCCCAGCAAGTTGTTGTCCTTTGTCATGGCCCTCTCGCCCTCATACACCTGCACAAGGACACTGCTCTGGTTGTCTGAGTAGGTGGTGAAGGTCTGGGTTTGCTTGGTGGGAATGGTGGTGTTACGCTTGATGAGAGCGGTCATTACTCCTCCGGCAGTCTCGATGCCCAGGGACAGAGGGGTGACATCCAACAAGAGCAGATCCTGCACGTTCTCAGACTTGTCACCCATGAGGATCGCTGCTTGCACGGCAGCACCATAAGCAACGGCCTCATCTGGATTGATGCTTTTGTTGAGCTCTTTGCCATTGAAGAAGTCCTGTAGCAGCTTCTGGATCTTGGGTATACGAGTGGAGCCGCCCACCAGCACTATCTCCTGGATTTGGCCCTTGTCTAGTTTGGCATCACGCAGGGCCTTCTCCACTGGCTCTAACGTGCCACGGAAGAGATCAGCGTTGAGCTCCTCAAAGCGGGCACGAGTAATGGAGGTGTAGAAGTCAATGCCCTCATACAGCGAGTCGATCTCAATGCTAGCTTGGGTGGAGGAGCTGAGGGTGCGCTTAGCTCTCTCGCAAGCGGTGCGCAGCCGTCTCACTGCTCGCTTATTGCCCGCAATGTCACGCTTGTGCTTACGTTTGAACTCTTCTACAAAGTGGTTCACCATGCGGTTGTCAAAGTCCTCCCCACCCAGATGGGTATCACCAGCTGTGGACTTCACTTCAAAGATACCATCCTCAATGGTGAGGATGGACACATCAAAAGTGCCCCCTCCCAAGTCAAAAATGAGCACATTCTTCTCTCCAGCCCGGGTACCTTTCTTATCCAAGCCATACGCTATGGCAGCTGCCGTGGGCTCGTTGATGATGCGCATCACATTAAGGCCAGTGATGGTGCCAGCATCTTTGGTGGCCTGGCGCTGGGAGTCATTGAAGTAAGCTGGCACTGTGATAACAGCATTCTGCACCTTGCGGCCCAGGTAAGCCTCAGCAATCTCCTTCATCTTGGTAAGGACCATGGAGCTGATCTCCTCTGGAAAGAAGGTCTTCATCTCACCCTTGTATTCCACTTGCACCTTGGGCTTGCCACTCTCATTCACCACACGGAAGGGCCAGTGCTTCATATCTGACTGCACCGTGGGGTCATCATACTTGCGGCCGATGAGGCGCTTGGCATCGAAGATGGTGTTGGTGGGGTTCATAGCCACTTGGTTCTTGGCAGCATCGCCGATGAGGCGCTCAGTATCGGTGAAGGCCACATAGCTGGGTGTGGTGCGGTTGCCCTGGTCGTTGGCAATGATCTCCACTTTGCCATGCTGGAAGACGCCCACGCAGGAATACGTGGTGCCCAAGTCGATGCCGATCGCCGGCCCTTTGCCAGACATGATGACGCCTTTTCCAGCTCAACTCCTCGCTAGCTCGCACTTCGCACCGCCCGCGCTCCCTCCTGTCTGCGGCGCGCTGTGCCGTTAAACGGCCGTCGGCGCCTCTTTTATAGCGCGCGCAGCCGCCTTCTGGAACCTGCCAGAACCTGCTGGCCCAATCTAGGCGCCCGCCTTCCACGGCCGCCCAATCGCCTCCGCGAGTTGCAGCAGAAGCACCGCCCCCTGCCTCCTGGACAATCCGAACC